AAAAAAAAAAAAAAAAAAAAAAAAAAATTTCTAAAGAGCTATCCTATCCTATGAATGAAAACTAGGATTGCAGGTTGAAAGCTTCAGGGATCAGATTTTGGCTCAATCTAAGAAAAAATTTCTGATATTCAGAACTGTCCTACAAGCCAAGATTAGAAACTGGTGGTCCACAGCCACATTCACATGCAGGCATATTTTGTTGGTGTGCAGTGTGTATGTGTTTTTTAATGTATTTAACCTTCTATTGGGGAGTGTGCCTGTTTTCACAGCTTGCACCATTCTCTGTGCTCTTAGCCCCATGTCACTCCTGTTTAACTTGCCTGTCCTTGAAGTAGGGTTGTCAGATTTAGCAAACAAAAATACAGAATACAGTTAAATTTGCATTTTAGACAAATGACAATTTCTTAGTGTAAGTATGTCCCATGTAATACTTGGGACATACTTACACTATATTTATTTTTCTATCCCAATATTTGGAAGTTTTAGATGGAAGCCTCTGATGTTGCATTTTGAGACAGTGAGCTCCATATATGGGAATATTAAGAGACTTGTCTTAGAGAAATTCTTGAGATGGAAACAGGGCTAAAATGGTTTAAGGATGTCCTTGCTTTATTTTATTGAGATCCCCTATTTCAGAGTGATATAACCATAAAAGGTAGGGGGAAGATAACTGAATTATCAGGCGCTGTTCTAGGTGTGAGTGACACACCTAGAACAGCCGAATGTTCTACCAAAAGAGCTGGGGCTGACAGATAAGGATAGAAAGTGTTTTTGACTTCTAATATCAATTTTTAGTAAAATTTCTTTTAAGCAGAAAGTTGATTGGTGTGCCTGCAGCTGGAGAAAATGATAGCAATCTCTTTCTGGACCAAGGCATGAACCAGGAGGCATGCAACACTCCAAAATAATAATCCTGCTTTTATCTGTCAAAAGCCATCTCCTACTTCTCTGAAACTGTGGTTAGTCATCCTGACACTTCTTGTTTTCCTATCCTGCTGCCAGAACTGCTTTTCTAGTTGTTTTGAACAGACTGTGGCCAACTCACCAAAGAACACGACAGCAGTAGATATGAGAAGAGACTGACACTCAGTTATCACAGCCTATTTCTTTGGCACAAAAAAACAAAAAACAAACAAACAAACAAAAAAGAACAGTGGCTCTCTGAGGTCACTTCCAGAAATTGTGCCTCTAAAACTAAGTGTCGGTAGTCCTTGGTCATCAGCTAGTCTTTTAGTGTCCTCCTGCTGGCCTCTGGGGAATTAGGATGTTTGTGTTGGATGAGACTCCAGAGAGCAATTGGCTTAACCCCCTTGTTTTGGAGATAAGGACAGGTAGCTTCGTGGTATGGTGACAAGATCCAGAGCTGATGGCTGCAGTTGGCTCACAGGCCAGAGCTCTTTGCAGCTCAGCAAATGGCTTCTCATTCCTTCTCCATTTGTCGTGTTTCCCTCCCTTACTTACACCCACTTTTTTCAGGCTCTCACTTGAAACAGACAAAATGACAAAAGGGAGGAGAAGATAAAACATGAAGAAACATATTTGGGGGCAAGTATGCACTATACACTATAGAGTATACACAGATGGAATTTAGCAATTCTAATTTGTCCTTTTGGGGAAAGCTCCTAGATGACAGGGGCTTTGCCATCTTATTTACAGATGGGTGCATTCTGCATACCCCCAGGTTCACTTGAATGCTCACTAGATACTCCTAGTCATACTGTTTCCTTTATCATTGTCCTCTTAAAGATTAAATAAAATCTCAGGGGTTACTCAGAGTTAAGTAAAACTTGATAAAACTCCATTTCAACTATTATAATGTAGGGACATTTTTAATATGTCCTTTCTTTACACAAAAAATCTAAACTTAGGGTTGACAAGTAACTAACACAGCAGTCTTTGGATCTTAAACAAGGACTTTATGTGGCTTATGGCTCCACTGTTTTCAAATAATAACGCTGCTTTCGCTGGTTTTTCTTGATGGATACTCTGTCTCCTCAACTGGACCTTCAGAGGACCCTGTCCTTTCTGCCTTTAAAATTTTTCAGGGGCTTCTACATACACTAGATGCAGAGATCTCTAGCCAATGTGTTGAATGCATGTATTAGAAATAAGAACAATGACTTTGGGAGCAGAAGTAGCCTGGAATGAATCCTGGCTCCTCCATTCACTAACTGGTGAATTCGGCAAATTTTAAATTTCTCTGTTTCCTTATTTATAAAATACAGACGAACTACTTCTCACAGGGTTGTGAAGAGAAAATGAAATAATGTAGGCACTCAATAAATGGTAGCAATTATTGCTGCGCCTGTTGAATTAATGCAAAACATAAGCAAAGGAACCACCACATGGCAGTATGATTTTCTAACCTTTTAATGCAATCTCATTTTGTTTGGCACAAAGATCTAGATTGGTAATCTGACAGATGTGTTGCTTTGTGTAACTTCCCACTGTGGCGAGCACTATAGTGCTGGTCCCTAGAAGCATTTAAGGAGAGGCGTTATAGTCAGCAGTGGGATGCATGCCAACTGTTTTATTGATGATGCCTATTTGGACCACAAGGCCAGCCAGCATTTGGGCCCCAGGAAGAATATGGCCCCGTTCATGTCATTACTCCACAATGCGGCGGAAAGACTGGACAGCTGGGGAAGCTGCTCCCCAATCGATGGGCTTCCGGTACTCCTTCTTGTCCAGGAGGTACTGCCTGCCACGGTAGTTGGGTAGCTCATAGAAAATCCAGACACCATCCAACACCTTACAGGAGTGGATCTCTCGCATGTGAAATTGCTCCATGATGGAAGGGCAATCCTCAGTGGTTTCATACATCTGACCATTAAAATCCCCTTTCTCAAAGATCTGAATCTTATACTGGCCTCCACTAGGCTGAAAAGACATAGGAGAAAATGAACAGAAACCACGATGGAAATCACCAGTAGGTCAAGAACTTAGAGAACAGTATTGTTCAGAATGTATCACCTTGAAAGCTAGATGATCTGAACTCCCATCCCACTGTGTACTGACTAAAACAGCTAACTTTCCATGAGAAAAAATTAATTATTCAAAACACTCAAGAGGCAGAGAGAGGCTGGGCTTGGTGGCTTTGGCCTGTAATCCCAGCACTTTGGGAGGCCAAGGCGGGTAGATCGCTAGGTTGGGAGTTTGAGACCAGCCTAGCCAGCATGGTGAAACCCCATCTCTACTAAAAATACAAAACTTAGCCAGGCATGGTGGCAGGCACCTATAATCCCAGCTACTTGGAAAGTTGAGTCAGGAGTATCGCTTGAACCTGGGAGGCAGAGGTTACAGTAAGCTGAGATCATGCCACTGCATTCCAGCCTGGACAAAAGAGCGAGACTTCATCTCAAAAAAAGAAAAAAGAAAAAAAAAGGCAGAGAGAGCACCCTGGAAATTAGTGTAGTCATTCTTGTAATGAACTCATCTAAGAGTTACTCAAGCTTCAGCAGCCAACAAGCAGCCATTCATTAAGAGGTAGAGAAAACTCAAGAAAATTTTCACCTAAAAGCAAAAGAGAAAGTGAACAGAGGGCGTGGGAAAGAGAGGGAGTGCGCGAATCCCCAGACTCACCAGATGAACAGCTCTGCAGGAGCTGAGGCGGTCGTTTAGGCCCATCCAACGTTGGTATTCAGGGTACTCTCCCTGGGGTAAGATGTACATGTACCCAGCAAAGTTGGGCCTTTCATAAACAGCCCAGGTGCCTCCTTCCACTTTAATGGAGTTGCAGCGACTTAGGTATGTGTGGAAATCTGCACAGTCGCAATCACAGTCATAGCGACGGCCTTGAAAATTTTTGTCTTCATAGAAAGTAATCTGAAGTAGAGGGCAAACAGAGGAAGAGCTGAGAAGCTGGGTGGCTTTATTCACAGATAAAAATTAAGAATATAATGCCTATTTTAGAAATTCCTTTCTCCTCAATTTTGAGGAAAAATATGTAGCTGCATGTTACCTTATGACATTGCTTTCTGACAGACAAGTTCAGTTGTCAACGATAGAAATGAATACTTCCTGAGGGCTGAACATGAAGCAAAACAGAAGAGTGCTCTAATGGAAGCCAGCAGTCTCAGACTCAAGTTCATTTTCTCTTCCTTTATGTTCCCAGAGCTCTCTGTACTTACCACATTATATTATAAGTTATCCATTTGTATGTCTGTCCCTCCCACCAGAATCCTAGTACGCTTTTTCCAAGGGCAAATACAAAGCCTTATTTGAGCTATCAATCCTCTGTGCCCATTACTTGACAAGACTTCAATAATTGTTTCATGAAAATGAATGACTTCTAGGTGATATGAAGATATATAGGGAAAAATAAAGCACAAACCTTAGCTTTAGAGAGTTTTAGAAGGATGTAGAGCTTTCATATATGAAAATATATCATGTTCTTTATTATTTTATTGCCAACAGAGTAGTTGCAAAGTAACAAAATGATAAGGCAAGAATGCTGTTTGCCTCAAACTCTTATCAAGTTTCTACCACAATGCCTGGGGTAAGTCTTGGATAGCACTGAGAAATACACAGCCCTGTGAAACCAGAAATAGAAAGTCTGGCCTGCAGAGCTACGTCTCCACAATTAGCCTTACCATCTTCATGGAGCCACCTCTCTGAGTTTCAGCTTCCTGTTTGAAGACTACAGCAGCCTGGAAGTCCTGGCTTTAAAACAACTCTCCAGAGTTTTTCTGGTTGAAACATGAGACAGAGTTCCTAAGAACTCCCAAGGATTCACCAAGCAGTTCCCGAAAACCACTATGAAAACTACAAATGGACTACAGAGCTTGTCCCTTGTTATTCAGTAAGTCCACAATCTCTTTTAAGATGGAGTTTCAGATCGATGCTAGGTTATAATTTAAACTGAAACCACAGGTGTCATGCTGTGGACAGTTAATTACCTGGCATTATGCCGCCACCCTGTGGCTGATTTACTTTATGGATTTAAGAGGAGAAAACTATGTGAGTCATTTCAGATGAAAGCAGCAGAGCCAGGTACTGTCTTGAGAGGATCTTTGAGCTGAGGATTGAAGGATAAGTAGGTGGTTTTCAGAGGCAAATGAAAAGGAATAAGTATGTTCAAAAGAATGAAGAAGTGAAAGAACATGGCCCATTACAGGACAATAAGTAGTTCATTAAGCCCAGTATATATTGAATATGTGGTGAAGTATTAGAGCATAAGGCCAGAAAAACGACACGAGAACCATGCTGGAATCCCTCTGGTGATTATGTGAGAGTTGTACTTAGCAGTCTGTGCTTAGAAACAGATGGCTGCTGTGGGCCAGGCGAGAGATGATGAGGGATAACCAAAAGGCAACTGCAACGTGAATGATGATGAGAAAACAGTAAAGAACTTTAGGGATTGATGACTAATTAGATGGAGGGAATGAGGAGAGGAAGAAACCAAGAATGACTCACAAAAAGACATAAAACTGCATTCTTCTCTATGCTGGGTGGTTCTTTCTAGATATTAATATACTAATAGTTATTTCCCTCCACCTTAATCTTTCCCTTCCCTTCACGTTTATCTCAATTCTTCTCTTTCCTGTTCCCTAAAAGTGTCCTTTATCCTTCCCATCCCTAAATCATCTACTTCATCTCCTTTTTCCCCTGCCCACATTTATGTGTTTCAGCAACCTTCCCATGTTAGCTCAGAACAGATTGAAATACATGGTACTTCAGCTTATGGAGGAAGAAAAAAATCCCAATACTACTACTGTTTTCTTGCGCTGTGACCTTGGACAGGGCAATGAACCTTTCTCTACAGCTCTTCATTTGCAAAACAGGATGACAGTGTCTCTTGCAGATGGGTATGTTCTGAGGGTCCAAGGGGATGTTGATAAAGTACTTAGTTTAGCCAGGTGTGGTGGCCTATGCCTGTAATCGCAGCACTTTGGAAGGCTGAGGTGGGTGGATCATGAGGTCAGGAGATCAAGACAATTCTGGCTAACACAGTGAAAGCCCGTCTCTACTAAAAATATAAAAAATTAGCTGAGCTTGGTGGCACACACCTGTAGTCACAGCTACTCGGGAGGCTGAGGCGGGCATCGCTTGAACCCAAGAGGCAGAGGGTGCAGTGAGCCGAGATCACGCACTCCAGCCTGGGTGACAGAGCGAGACTCCATCTCAAACAAATAAATAAAATATATAAATACTTAGTTTAATATCTGACTCACAATTGCCAATAAGCTTTTGCTACCATTTTCACAGGTAAAGTTAAGTGATTGGCCTAATGTCACTACCTAGTTACAAGTTAACAGGCAAGCCGGTGGGCTGCAGCGCAAAACTCCTAGTGAGTAATCTGTTGTCACTGGATTTTCCTTTGCTGTCTTTCCACCTGCACAGTTAGCTCTGTTTAACATGGCAGCATTTACTCTCTTGAACGATAAACAAGACTGAGCCTGATCCTGAGGTCTCTTCCTCGTGACGTGTGGAGAGATCTTTAGGAAAGTCAAATAACTTCTCTAAGAATGGATAGATTCTAAACTTAATTCATATGTTCTATTTGCCTTTGGGTCTTGACCAAATATTCACCAGAAAGAGCCTTTGCAAAAGATATCCTATGGGAAATGAAGTTAATAATACCATCTATTTCACTTCATAGTTTCTCACATTTACTGCCTTCTGCACATTTGTGTGACTCATTATCAATATCTGCTAAGTAAAAATATACATGATACCTGATAAGGTCACCTGATGTCCACCCTCCCAGGAGACCAGCCAACCATCCAAAAGTTGAAACAAAGCACTCATCTTGTTGCCATGGAATCATTACTGAGCTCCAAGACTAAGCTCTCCTTTCAGTGGGAGACTTTCTAAATCTCAGAGCCAGAAAATGTTGCACCTAGCCGTGCTCCATTTCTATTTGCAGAATAACCATGAAATTCATGCTATTGTCAGCTGAGAGGTTTTGACCCTTGGGCAAAACATTTTGTAGAGAAGGCTAAGAAATGTGCAGAAAGTTTTCCTAAAAACTATTACAAAATTCCTATCATTTTCAGGTTTATTTTTGGAAAAATGGCCTACTAATCCAATGCAGCAGAAAGAAAAATGTCTTGAGTATCCCAGAGGTAACGAAAACATACTTAATAAAATCCATTCCTTTTGCCAAGTCTATAACTCTTCTGATTAAACTGCTAGCAAGATAGTGGGAAAGGAAGAAGCAATGAGAAAGAGTAAGAAATCATTTACACTCTCCTTTGCCCTCGCAAGCAAACGTTATTTAACTAAATGGACAACTCAGCTATAAATAAAAAAGAATACACTATTACTGCTCTGGAAATCTTTAAAAGCAGATGTTTTCATCTAAAATGGTTGCTTTCCCTCAAGACACATGGATATTCCTCCTCTAAGGACTTTAAATTCTTTTTTAGTGGGATTTGCATGGTGTATTTTTAAGAACCTCAGAGCACTAAAGACACATTTTTCTCCCTAAACCTTCTGAATGACAAGCATGATCATTAGTTCTATTTTCCAATGGAAAAAATCAAGCACTAATAAATTATGGAATAAGTTAACAGGTACCTTCTGAGATGATGCAACAGAAGGCACACAACATTGCCTATGTAGCTTTCTTTCCAGAGATATTTATTCTGAATCTAAACATGAGGAAACAATTAGACATCTAGATTGTAAGATTTTCTAGAAGACATTTGGCCTAAGCGTTGAAAAATGTCAGTGTCTCAAGAACAACAGAAAGGGTAGGGGGACTTTTTTAGAGAGGCTAAAAAAAATAAATAAAGAGAACAAAGAGACATGACAATCAAATGCAATACATCGTTTTTGACTGGATCCTATATTAGGGGAAAAGTCCACCATGAAGCACATTTCTGGGGACAGTCTGGGGAGATTTGAATATGGTCTTAATATTAGCTATTAGATTTATGATAAATCTTGGGGACATGATAATGATACAGTGCTTGTACAGGGAAATGTCCTTGTTTTTAGGAGATACATGCCTAAATACTTAAGGCAAAAGTATAATAAAGTCTGCTACTAATTTTCAAATGGTTTAGTAAGGAGAAAGAGATGGAGATAGCAAATATGGCAAAATGTCAACATTTGGAGAATATAAGTGAAAGATATACAAATATTCAACATTTCTTTCCCATTCTTTGAGGATTCAATGGGTTTTGAAAATTTTCAAATAGCTGGGGGTAAAAATCAGGCATCAGTTTTGTCTCATCAGTGGGAGACCTAAAAAGAAAATGAAGACATATTCCCTCATTCCCAAAGCCCTACCTGAGAGATTAATTTCCAATCCAGCAACTGTGAGTCAGATATTTTAGAGGCAATTTTCTGACTGTAAAGGAGCACTTTATTTGGGGAACGAATAAAAATAATTGCTTGAATGAAGGAGATAAGTAGGACTTTATTCACCTGATTGGCCCATCCACTTTGGCCTTTCAGAACATTAATGGTTGAGGCTAAATTTCAGAAACAAAATTGACTATTAAAAGTTTTCTGCTCCATATAATCCCTATTAGCATGTCTTATTCCTATGGAGAATATTAGTTGCATAGAATATTAGTTGCTAGAAGGCAGAAATAATATTTTACACATTATTTACCTGTACAGTATTCAACATAGCACCATACATAAAGATAAACCCTCAATAAAATGTTTGGTAATTCTGTAAACAATAGAAAATATGATAAGCATTTCTCAATCTTCTGTCTCAATCCCAGTGCTCTAACCACTATCATACTCACCTCTAGGCAAAGAAGCAAAAGCTTTTCTGTGTGTTCCTTTCAATGCATCATTAAGTGAAAAGTGGGTAGGCTAAAAATCAGTATGACCATTTACTTACCTTGGTTCCAGTTTTAGACATTTTTGGTGCATAGACTGGTTTTCCCAGCGCTGAAAGAAATTCGGGAATGGCTACAGAGAGTTAGAGGCACAGTGACATTTATATGGGCTGGTTTCAAGTCAAACATTTGCTTAGTCATGAGAATAGGATCCAAAAATTGAGTCAGTCATTTAGAGGCTATTGATGGTTTCTAGAAAAAACAATCGGGATTATAAAATAAAGGAAAGCTTCAGTACCGCCTTTAATGCTTACCAAGCCCTGCTGCATTATAGACTTTGCTGAGTCAAGAAACCAAAACCCAGACAAAGTTTTAAAAATTAAAAACAAAAGAGTCCCTTTTTGCTTTTATGCTGTTTTTTTTTTGTTTTGTTTTGTTTTGTTTTTTGTTTTTAAATGGCAAGCAGCCTCTTTGAAATTCCTAATGTCCTTTTTCTTCAACAAAGCTTGTGGGAGGTAAGAGTCAGAAGACTACCTCTATTTCTGGACAGAAGTGACATGTTCTAAAAGCAACAAAACTTACATGACAACTAAATGCAATGCATGATCTTGTGTTTTGGGGGAAAAGTCACTATAAAGAACACTGCTGGGACAATCAGAAAACATTTAAATATGTACTGTAAATTAGATAATACTATTGCATCAAAATTTAACTTCTTGAATTGGATCATTGTACCATGACTAGGTAAGAGAATGTCTGTTTCTAGGACACACATGCTAACGTATAGAGAAGAAAGGTTCAAGATGTCTGGAACCTACTCTCAAAAATTGTTGAGCAAAAATAATACTGTTACATAGGGTGGTAAAGAGAACGTAGCAAAATGTTAACATGTGGTGAATCGAATCTAAATAAAGAGTATGTTAAAGTTCACTGACTTATTCTTGCAACTATTACTTAATTTTCTAAAAACAGTTTTTTTTTTTTAAAAAAAGAGCTCTAATGCACAAAAAGGATGCCATGGTATATAGAAAAGTAACTGTGGGACTCCTGAATTTGCCAAAGGTTAGCTAACTGAACACAAATTGCTACCTGCAGGTGGTCTTCTTTGCCCACAATACAGCCGTGGAACCTGTTTGGAGAACATTTTTTTGGTCCCAATACACCTCTGACTTTAGAAATGAGATTGCATTTATGTAAACTTAAAAAAAAAAAAAAAACAAATTAACTTTTCTCCATTTTTAACTTTAACTGATCAAGTATATTCTCAAAAGTCCAACTTCCTCATCCTTCTATTAACAAAACCATCCAACAAATATCTTAATAAATGGGATGTATTCTGGTCTATTCAGAAAATGCCAACTGTGCCTTGATATAAAGATTACTGAGAAAATATTAAGCTATATTCTTAGTTTTCTGAATTTTATAAACTTTAAAAAAAGTATCTATCATTTATTTCATTAACAAATAGCAATATCTAAAATACATTTCTATTACTCCAGTGTTTATTTGGTAATGCTCTGCTTCTTGAATTTCATCTTAAAATAAAAACTAAGTAAACTTCAATTAGAATTAAACATTCTGAAGGTTAATTTTTACTTTAGAAATACAAAAGACTTTTTTGATAGAATTACTAATTAAATGGCCAGAGAGCATATGAACCAATGCTTATTAGTGATCAGATTCATTTCACTCATTTGATAATTTGGTAATTTCACTCACTTTTCTTAAAGAAGTGTTTCCCAATCAAATGTAAACTTTACTTGATATGTTGAGGAACGACACTGGAAGCCTTTTCTAAAATTAAAAGTAAAGCTTGACGGTCCTAAGGGTGCCGGACCACGGCGGGGTGTGCATCGCTTGGGGTCGTGGACTGACGGCGGCCCAGAGGGCGTCCTCGGGCGGTGTCTGGATATGCGCTTTGCCTCTTCTCTGCGACAGATGCGCCAAGTCAACCCTCAGGCCTCAGGTCTCCTAAGTGATCTACGTTTAACTCAGATGCTGCTTTACTTTTTCTTAAGGAGTTTGAAGCTCTTGATTCCAAGGAAGACAACGGTCTAGGTGCTTTGCGATGGTTTGATATTTTAAATCTATGTTTTGCAGTGTCCGATTGTTACCCCTCCCTTTGCGGGGGCTATCCGTGTATATGGGTTGTGTGTGTGTATTTCTCATTGCTCTCTGCATGGTACGAGTGTGCGTACGTAGAAAGATATGCGAAGAAAAGTCATGGAGACCTTGCCTCGCTGTCATCTACGACTCCCTGGCTCTAGTCTTGGGAAAATCCAACCTTCTTATGGCTGCCTTTTCTGTAAGTTAGAAATAAGCCGTTCCTAATAAGCCTTATTTCTATTAATAAGGCTTACCTATTTTCAGGCAGAGGATAAATTACAGCTATGGAAAAGATACTGCTTAGGACAATCCGCTGGGACCAAGTTCGAAACAGAATGTGTATTTCTTTCTTTTTGAACTATAAAAATAAGCAAATAACCAAAATAAGCCAGCCATGTGTTCAAACCTAATGAGTATGTGAAATTTTTCTAGCTAGAGGGACTTTACCTTGCAGCTTTCATACTTTAAATTTTGTGAGGAAAAGAAATAATGTGAAGGATCATAAAAGCCAGAAACTCTTTAAGAGTTGTAAATTTAAAAGTTATCTGTTAGAGAAAACCTATACTACTGCCTGCCAAAGGGCATTTAGCAGTTAGATACCTCAGGTCCTGTCATTATTCAGAGTTTCATCAGATTTTTAAAATTTAAATGGGACTTCATTTGGTAAAACTATTCATGGTGTTCTGACTTTCTCTTTGCATAAATATTGGTCAAGGATGTGTGTACAGCTTCACTATGGCCAGCAAAGAATAATGCTGTTTCCTATGTAGTTTCCCCTCTCCAACAATGTATTTTATTGGCGTTTTTTATTCTCAAAGCGGATTCTATAATGTAGAGATTTTCGACAATCCTCATCTGCCCAGAGCAACATTATTTATTCAAGGACTTGTCAATAAATTGAGTTTAGACAGCAAGTCTTTTGCCTGCAAAACTTTACATTCTCAAACATGTAATTAACACAATTGTAGATCAGATCAAACACCATGTTACTATCTTAAGAACAATAGTTCAACCAACATTTCAACTTTGAAAATATTTTCTTTAAGAGCTCCTGAATTCCTCCAACTTCCCCTTCCTGAATCAAGACTGCAGAGCCTCTCAGTTACAAGCTAACAAGAATCACAGAATTAGGTGTTTTTGTTTCACTTGAGTTGTAGTTTGTTTTGGTAAGGAAATCGGACATCACTTGGGTAAAGTTTATTAACTCTTTCCTCCTTTGAGTAAATAGTGAATGTCACGTACCAATGAATAAGAAGCCCACAGAGATAAGACACATCTTAGTGAGGAAACTACCGCATAGAGAAAAAAAGTAAGACAGAAACAACTGAAATTACGTCCGGTCGCGGTGGATCACACTTGTAATCCCAGCACTTTGGGAGGCCAAGGCGGGTCGATTGCCTGAAGTCAGGAGTTCGAGACCAACTGGACCAATGTGGTGAAATCCCATCTCTACTAAATATAAAAAATTAGCTAGTGGTGGTGCATGCCTGTAATCTCAGCTACTTGGGAGGCTAAGGCAGGAGAATCTCTTGAACTCTGGAATCGGAGGTTGCAGTGAGCTGAGATTGTGCCATTGCACTCCAGTCTGAGCAACAAGAACAAAACTCCATCTCAAAAAAAAAAAAAAAAAAAAAAAAAAAAAAATGTTTCTCCAATTGTGTTCCTAAAACAGTATCTTTGTACATTAGATTAATAACATCACCATAAANAAAAAACGGAGGGAAACTATTCTTTAGAGTTTGTTTATTGAAAATTTGAAGCAGGAAATAAAAAATAAAGATTTTTTTAAACACAATTTCATTAAGTTCCACACTTTAAGGACTAAAATATAGTATAAAACTATTTCTGCTATATCTATATGTCAACAAATTACACTTTCCTTCCAATTATTTTTTAAAAGGAGTAGCAATTTCCTTTTAAATAGTTACAAAGAACTACAAAACTCTTTAAATCTAGAAAGAATAAAATTCTTTCATCACACAAATGAAGATAAACAGTATTGTTACAAATCTACACTCAGTTGCTTTAATATTAACATACACACAATGTTCCTTCATCAACTTTTTCATTTGGGCATCACAAAGATGAGTCTTCTGATGTTCTATAAACGATATGTTTATATGAAAGTCAGAAGTTTAGTTAAAATTCAGCCTACACAGTAATAAATGAATATGGAATGGAAATCAGAGTTCTTAAATAGGATAGAAAAGTCCCATTGTCTCTTAAGCAGCAAGAGCACCTTCCCAGTTTAGTTTCAAGATGAGCACCATTCTCCATTTATCCTTGTATTTCCAGGGCCCTGAAGAGCAAAGAAAAAATAATAATAACTTAATTTTCTATTGCCTTCATGTAAATAATTTTAAAATGCTTACATTTATAAAATCACATAAATTATCAAAGTCAGATGATAGATTAGAGTGATAAAATACATAAAGTTTAAAGTTAATAATATTCCTTTTTGCTAGGTGTCTTGTTAGATCATAAGAGAAATTCATACATGAATATAAAAAATTGTCAAGCAGTGAGGATTAAACAAATATTTTTACCTGCTTATAGTTCACATTTCCTTTGCATAATCTCCATCGGATTTCTAATTTTTTTTTTTCTTAAGAGACAGGGTCTCGTTCTGTTGCCCAGGTTGGAATACAGTGCTGTAATTATAGCTCACTGCAGCCTTAAACTTCTGGGCTCAAGGGATCCTCCAATCTGTGTCCTAAGCAGTGGGGATTAGAGGCATGTGCCACCATGCTCAGATAATTTTTAAATTTTTTGTAGAGACACGGTTTCATTATATTGCCCAGGCTGGTCTCGAACTCCTGGCCTCAGGTGATCCTTTCACCTCGGCCTCCCAAAGCGCTAGGATTACAAGTATGATCCACTGCGCTCAGCCAAATTGCTAATTCTTAATCTCAGCATTTATTAATAAATATCGTTAAATCCTTTTTTAAAAAATACACCCTTAAGAAATGTAAATATATAAAGTAAACAATAAAAAATACATTTTTACAGCTTTGGAAAACTGCAGTTTCTTAAAAAGTTAAACATACGCCCTCACAATTCCACTTCTAGGTACATACCCATAAGAAATAAAAACAAAT